GATGGGTGGGTGGATGGATGGATGGATGGATGGGTGGGTGGACGGGTGGGTGGATGGATGGATGGATGGATGGGTGGATGGTGGGTAGATGGGTGGGTGGATGGATGGATGGGTGGATGGGTGGGTGGATGGATGGATGGATGGATGGATGGGTGGGTGGATGGATGGGTGGATGCATGGATAATCTAACCATTCCAGCCCTTTGCAGACTCCTCAGATGTTATATTAGATCTTCAGATCCTCCCTGCCCTTCCATGGCACGCCCTAGTCCTTATCAAACTCCCTCTTAAACTTTCTTTAATCATTATTGTGATTAAATACCTGGTACTCTATAAATCCCATCGGGGGACAGTATGTAAAGGGCCAGCCCTCAACTAAAATTATTAATTCCTTGACCCCCAGCTCCACCTTCTGCTTCTCTGGTCTTCCTCCCCTGCACCCCGTGCTCGGTACCGAGCTGGCACGTGGGCCAAAGTCACTACACAGTGGGTGGGTCCCTGCCAAAGGGCCAGGATGACTCAGGGAGAGTGTTAACATGGGGTTAACATTGGTGAAGTCCCCAGGTGAGGTTAGGGTTTGTGGTGGTTGTTATTACTGGTGTGTGTGTGTGTGTGTGTGTGTGAGTGTGTGTGTGTGTGTGTGTGTGTGTGAGAGAGAGAGAGAGAGAGAGAGGGACCCAGCCTTCCTGAATGATGGAGGGAACGGAACCCTCCTCACTGGGGTCACCCTTCCCCCAGAGGGAAATTGATTTCCCCGTAAACCAAGGGCCCCAGCCACCTTGCGCTCCCTTCCCAGCGGCGCGTGTCTGAAAGCCGGCGGCTCCTGCCTCTCCAAGCCCCAGCCCTGGACGGAACGAAACAGCCTGGGAAGCAGCCCACGTGGGGATTTTTTCTTTTTTTCCGTAAGGGCCGAGCCAGGTTGCAATCACTGGTGCCTCTCCGCCAGCGCTGGGCTGTGTCGTCTTTCGCCGTCGCTGAGGGGGAGACTGGCTTCCTGGCCAGGTCTGTTCAGAGTGTTCCAGGCCTCAGAGACACCAGCTCTGGGGCCCAGGGAGGTCCAAGTTTAGGGACTTGCAGACCCTCGGCAAGTGCCTGATTATTCATTCCCTCCTCGTCATCGAGTGGAAACACAGCAGGTCCTGATCAAGAGAGACGGGAATGCTGGTCCCAGCCCAGTCTCTCGCTGGTGGGGTGGGGGTGACGTGAGCGCTGTCAGACTCTCTGGGCCTCAGCGTGCTGCTCAGAGGAGCCCCCCAGGGACGCGGGGCAGTCAGAGCGCCAGTCGTCTGGACACCCACCTCCCTACATCAGTCTTGAACGCGGTGCTGTTCAAACCTTCTTACTGAGCCCTTTCAGACCAAGCCCTTCCTCTCAATGAAAGGCGCAGAGAAGCCCGACACCCGGCTGGGTGGGCCTGCTCTGCCTGAGGTGCGTGAGCTCGGGGCCCGCCCGCTCCACTCCCCTCAGCCTGCGCCCAGGAGGTGCCAAGAACAGCTGGAAATCATCACTTGAGGCTCCAGCTAAGAGTCCAAACTGATTCACCTACATTTCTACCGCTCCCAGGAGCGTCTTTAAGGAAAGGAAAGATTGCTTGCTGCCATGGCTGAAGTTCACAGACACAGGAGAGCTGCTGTAAACCACCCCTGCCCCCAACGCCGGCCCGGCCTCGGCGCCCGGTACGGTGGGATTTGGAGGAGAGCCGGCCACGGAGGTCCCGTTCAGCAGGGACCCGACTCCACCACTTCTGCTGAGCGCCACCCATGCCCAGCTTGGTGCCTCTGCAGTGATGGGGAGCCCACTCCGCGTCGGGGCCTTTCATGCCAGTCCCGGACAGGCTCGTCTAAAGGAGAGCGCTTCCTTTCAGCAGAGCCCAAATCTGTCTTTCTCACTTCCTTTCTTCTTTCGTCCTACTTTGCGCCTCGGGCCACCCAGGGCAGGTCTGCCCATACCCTGCCTGGCCACTCTGTGGGCATGGAGAGATGGTGCTGTGACCTCCCTGGGGACCATCTTTCACCCAGGGCCAGGCTCAGGCCCCTCGCCACAGAGGCTGCTTCGTCCTGGAGGGATCTCAAGCGACGTCACCTCCCCGGGCAGCGATGTGTCCGGGAGGAACAGGAGACGCTCCCAGTCACGTGGTCTGTGACAATCCCGGCGTGCGTGGGGATGACATCGGGGCTCCCGATTCAGAAGAGGACCCTGCCCTTGGGGAGCAGGCTCTCAAGGCAGGCTCCTCCCGCACCCATCCCAGCACTCAGCCCTGTCCTCTCCCGAGACCAGCAGCAGCAGTGCTGGCCGTGGCGCCCGCTAGGTCAGCTTTGGCCACGACAACTTACTTCTCGTTTCGTGTCTAGCCCTGTAACCACGCTTGGAAAGGCGGACATCCCGTTTTACAGGTAGAAAGTTGAGTCGTGGAGAGATTAAGCAGTTTGCCGAGGGCATGGGGTGTGGTGGACCAAATAGCGCATCCCAAGCGTTCACCACATACCCCACAAAGCCCACCTCGCGCCCTCCAGAATATCAGGGGGCCAAACTCAGCCTGTCCCGTGCCCTGCTGGGGGAGGAGGGGCATGTAAAAGGAGGGGGCCCCAGATTCCAGCCCAAGACGGAGAGCCTGTGGTCCTTTCAGAGCCCTGCGGGGCCCCCTCCCCAGGTCCTCCCTCGGGCCCTCCTCCTGAGATGCCAACCAGGGCTGCAGGAGGTGTGACCACGCCCAGACCACCGGTTGCCCGGGCTCCAGTCGGTGGCTTGCTAATTCTTCCACACTGGCCAGAGCACGCAGGGGACATCCAGAGCTCTGGCCAGCTGGGGTGGGAGTGCAAGGGCAGGGTCGGGGGATCATACATTTTGAGTGGCAGTAACTCGTCTTGCCCAAACCCACACACGAAGTCGCAGGTATACATAAGGCGGCACCCGGGGTCTCCCTACATTTGCCACAGGTCCCGGACCTGGGTCTGGCATCTGACCTTGCAGCAGTCCCCAGGGGGAGGGGACCAGAGCTGGCGGCAGATGGAGCCCCAGGCCCTGGGCTGTAAGCCAGAAGCTTGCTGTGGTGGCACCCAGCCACGTGAGCAGACATAGGTTCAGACACTTACTAACTCCACGTGTCTATCTGCCCAGGCAACCCCGGGGGTCTCTGTTCCCCTCCTGCTTCCTCCCTGGACGAGGTCCTAGAATCCCAACAGTTCCCTCTGCCACAGACCACGTGGGTCTCTTTCCCCCTCCTACATTTGCTGTGAGCAAAAGTAAAATTCTGACCACCTGAGATTTCTTACTTTTTAACCAGGATGTTTGTTCTAACAAGGTGTGATATGAAGAATGACGAGGGAGCCTTGGGGGGCTGCATAACCCCCAGCGGCTGGGCCTTACCGTGGTCCAGCACATCGTAAGCACAAGGACATCCAAACTCCCACCTCATCGCACTGCCTCGTGGGTCAGGAAACTGCTAGATAAGCTCCCTGTGGGCAACTGGGGGCTACAAGCAGGTGCATGGGCTCCGAAGCCCGGACTCGCACCCACCGGCGAGGTGGGCTCAGCAGGTGCCGCCCTTCGGCACCCGTCACGGGTACCTGTGGTGCAGGTGGAGCTGCAGGGCTCGTGGGACGAGAGCTTCCACCGGTACATGTCCGCGGGACTCACGCCGTGCTTGCGCGTCTTGGGCCTGGTCCTGAAAGCAGGTGAAGCAGAGAAGGGGGTGAGTTTCACGGGAGGATATGTTCTCATCCGTGGGGTGTGGTTGTGGACCTGTCCTGAGCTCCAGGCAGAATCGCCACCTGTCGGGGTCCCAGTGCCCACCGTCTAGAACAGAGACAAGGGAAGCGGCGCCCACGGGGCGGCGGGTTGTAGGAAGGAACGGACGTTGGCATTTTCCATCTTAATGACTGTCTGAGCTCACTGGCCTGCAGCCGTCAGAGCACCTTCGGGGGCTGGGGGGTGAAGAATCTGGGGCTCCCCAGCATCGCAGTTGCTCCTTCCACACACACAGCCTTCTCGCTCTCACCTTCTAGCAGGGTCGTGCAGATTCCTCCTGCCCTGTCCCCGGGAAGGGACCGGAGAAGCACCTGGTGTGCTGCGAAGGTGCAAGAATTCTCTCCCACGGCCTCCCTCAGCTGGGATTCTGACTGAATGGGGCACACTAGCCATTGGGCCTCCGACGATCAAAATAGAAAAGCTCAGCTGCAGACGGGGGAGTGGCCGCGTCCCCTCCAGACGCCTCTGCCCAGGTCTGCAAGGGCTGCTGTGCCAGGGAACGCCGGGCTGGGTCCCCGCCAGCGACGGGCTAGGATTCTTGGCCGGAACTCAGACGGCCCAGCCAACTATTGTTAGGACTGTTTGCTTCTTTGAACCAGTCGGTGTGCTGGGGCCCAACCTCCGTATCCAACGTGCAGGCTCGTTTTGGACTCGGCAGGGGCAGAGGGAGGTGGCGGCAGCTCCCAGAGCCCGGGCATCTGCTCTGAGATGCAGACGGCTGGGTCTGAATGCGGCCCGTGGAGCCCTGCCACCCCCAGAGCCGGCAAAGGGGACGTGGTCCCATGGCCCGGGGGACGGCACGTCCCTGAGACCCCACCGCCCAGCTCCACTTCCCTTCCTGCCCAGAGGGGCTGACTGAAGACCGCCCTAAGCTCAGACCCTCTCACAGAGCACACTCGCAGGTCCTTTCCCTGGGGCTTTCTGTCACCCCGGAGGTCAGGCTTACACGAGGGTTGCAGGGCATCCATTCTAAAAGGCCTTCCAGTCAATTCTGTGATAGAGACATTGGTTTGGATTCAACTGGGAGTTTACCGTTTGTCTTCCAACTTCTGGAATTTCACAAGTGGATGAGAACGGCTCTTACACTTTACTTTTGCATAAATGTTGCCCTGAAGACACATCGTGCTCTGAGAACCAGGAAATAGTCTACCCACGGACCTCAAGTAACGAATTTACTGATGCGGCTTCGTTAACCCAGGAAGGAGGGAGAGTGAGGAGAGGGAGGGGAAAGCCGAGGGCAGCCGGCCACAGGCGGGCGGCCGGGACCCCTCACCTGGTGGCGTCCCCACCGGGAGCCTGCCCCAGCCTTTCCACACATACGGGGGAAGGGGAAGGTCCTCCCTCTTTCCTCCTTAAAAGTGAGCGGGAACTTTAAGATGGGGCGCTCCACCCACCCAAGATCCAAGCATCTCAGAACACGGGACCCATGGAACCTCCCCGGGGAGGAAGAGCCTGATTCTGAAATGTGCTGATTGGGTCCCCCACCCTCCTTTCCACAGCTTTAAATTCTCCCCAAGAACAAAAGGGGATGAAAAGATCCAACCCCTGCCCGGCCACCCCACCCATGGAGAAGCCATCTTTATCTAATTACACCCTCCTGGGCCAGCAGGCAGCGTGACTCATTCTGGAGAGACAGCAAGCGGTTCAAAATAACCCTTCGGGTTTTAAGCACCAAAGGTATTTTTGGGGGGGCTGCCCACATGGCACTGCTCGTGGCAGCACCGCATGGGCGCCTGTCCCGCCTCTCGAAACGTGTATTTGCACAACAGTGCAACGCCTGAAAGACTCTGTTCTCGGAAGTGGGGCCCTGGGGAGAAAAACACCCAGGAAATCGCTGAAACCACCAACCCTCCACCCGCCTCCATCTGGAAGGAAGGTAGTACCCTCTGATCCGAAAGGCTCGGACCACCTCAGCCCTGCGATGCCTCGGATCCCGCGTCTGGACCCTTTCCCCAGGACCGCCATGCGTGTTTATAAACGGCTCATAAAGTGCTTTGCTTCCCCGCCACCCCCGCCACCCCTGATCCAGGCTGAGACGGGGACCCTGTGTCTCTGTGTCTCGGACGCTTGTTCCCAACGCCAGCGTCTGGTGTCGGGGCGTCCCTTGATTGTTCGGGGCTGTTCTGAGAAGGTGAAAATAACCTTTCCTTTCTGGGCTGCCCCTTTGATTTCGCCCTCTCTGAGCAGACGCGACTTCCTGTGTTTGGACAACTCGCTGCGACAGGGCTATTTTGTCCTGGCGGTTCCCCCACCCCCCTCCACCCCGCCACCTCCCTCAGCCCTTTATCTCCAGAGACCATCTTTGGCCTCTGGTCCACGGTGTACTTTGAAGCAGCTGGTGGGGGAGCCGCCCATCTCCCCACGTCAGGACTTTCTGAGTAATGACCATCACTGTACTGGTTCCTGCATCCCACATGGCACTGGAAACCCAATCATTCCCCTTAGGGCCCAGGGGTGGGGTGGGAGTCAACTGGGATGGGGCAGGAGACATTCTTTATAATGTGACCTAAGGACCCAAAATCTTGTGCCATGACCTGGCTTAAGAATCCTTGAGCGCCCGACCGGCGGGCCCTGAAGCATTGTCTGACAAGCCCCTCGCTCAGGGATGGGGAACTGAGGACCAGAGAGGGTCACCGATGGGTCCAGGTCCCATGGGGACGGGGCGGGGAGGGGAGAGGGTTGGGATGGAGACCCACTGGCACTTTCCAGGCCTGAAGCCAAATTAAACAGCAGCCTGTGTGCCCCCCGGTAAGCCCGTTCACGGAGGGACCCTGACCGTGAGATGGGCGGCCTTCCTCGCACGGGCTCGTGGTCCCAGAAAGGCCCCTCCCCCACCCCGAGGCTCAGTGTGTTCAGATCTTTCCCGTTTGCTGGGTCCTCACTAGGTGCCTTCAGCGCTTCAGTACCAGATGGAACTCAATCCTCTGGCCAGCCCTGGGGGTGAGAAGAGCCCTGAGTAACTGGCCCCGGATCACAACAGCAAGTACAGGCTGATTCTGCGCCCCCCCCCCTCCAGACTCAGAGCCTGTCTCGCCCTTCCGGCCGCTGGATGCCACACACCCCCAAGGCCCACTCCCTGCATTCTGAAGCCGGGCCAGGCAAGCAGATGGCCTAGATGGACCCTATGGGAAGAAGGGCAGCCGCAGAAGGCTCCAGACCTCCCACTCTGGCCACATTTGCAAAGAATTCCACCCAGAGCCTCGGGATTGCCCCGGATGTGCCCTGGGTATCTCATGGGGCCTCGGAAAACAGCTTGAGAAAAGAGGGGGGCACCTCCTGGGGGCTCAGGGGCCCAGCTTCCCTGCTCTCATCCCCAGGGAAGGGTGAGAGAGTCATCTCCACTCGCCTCACCTCAAGAGTGAACCCCAAATCTTCCATCAAACTCAATTCCCCAAGGACGCCCGCCTCTGCATCCTCAGCCCTGGCTAGGGTTCCACTGGCTTGGTGTCTAAGGCCAAGGGGTTTGGGTGGGTCCTCAGAAAACAAGATAAACTAAAACCCAGTGCACTTGGACTTCCCTGGTGACGCAGTGGTTAAGAATCCGCCTGCCAGTTCAGGGGACACGGGTTCGATCCCTGGTCCAGGAAGACCCCACATGCCACAGGGGAACTAAGCCCGAGCCTGTGCTCTAGAGTCTGCGAGCCACAACTACTGAGCCCGCGTGCCACAACTACTGAAGCCCGCGTGCCTAGAGCCCATGCTCCGCAACAAAAGAAGCCACCGCAGTGAGAAGCCTGTGCACCGCACGAAGAGTAGCCCCCGCTCGCCGCAGCTAGAGAAAGTCCGTGTGCAGCAACGAAGACCCAACACAGCCAAAAATTTTTTAATTAATTAATTAATTAATTAAAAAAAAAAAAAACGGGGGGCTTGTTCCTGCCTTCAGTCCCCACTCGCCACCAGGGGTGCTGAGCCTGGCTCGGTCTGTTTAAACCAGCCTCGCTGCCCTGCTAGCCTGGAGAACAGGGGAGTCATCATCGGCCCAGGGAATTGTCCTCTAGTAGGGATAGTGGAGGCCTGGAGCCACCCTGATCCCAGCTGATCCCAACCCGGGGAGGCTCCTGGCCTCAGACTCCTCCAGGGCCAGCCACGACTCAGGTGTCCCCAAGTGTGACTGTCCAGGCCTCCCCAGCGTGTCCTTCGCTCTGGACTCTCTCCCACGGCCCGTCCCAGGGCAGCTCCAGCCCCACAGAAGAAGGCCTTGTTCCTAGTGCCTGACTTGGGGCCTGGTCCCTGGCTGGGGACCCCACTGAACCGTCCCCCAGTCTCCTCCCTGGCCAGCAGGGAAGGTTGTCCCGAGCCACCCCACCTTCGGGGAACATTATGGTCTCCCGCGAGAGCTGTCCCACCTTACGCACAGCGACCACATGTGCAGTGAGCGTCCAGACCGAGAACCCAAAGACCCCAAGCCTCCAGTCTCTGAGCCCTAAGGACGTCACTTACCTCCTCTCTGAGCCCAATACCCCTCCCTGAACCTAAGGCTGTTTGTGATGAGAACATGTCTCTGTGCACACGGAACACTTAGCCCCAAGTGCTCAGAACCGTTCACCTCTTCCCCCTCTGCCCCCCAGTTCCTGGGATCACATCACACGTGGGCACTCGGCACCAGCTTTAGCCCGTGGACCTAACTTGTGGAAAAGATGCTAAAACCCAGGCCTCTGACCCCCTGCTCAGATCCGCGGGGTGAGGCGGGGGGGGGCCCTGGGCGGGGGCGGCTCTCTCCCACCTACCTCCGTCCCGGCCCTCACCCGGCAGCCCCCAGAGAGGACTGGGGAGTTGCCTCCTACCTGGCTTTCTGCGTCCTGTTCCCAGCCAAGGCAGGGAGGCTGGCACTGGCGTTGGGGAACGGGGCCTCGGAGGAGGTGTTGGCCACTCTGTCAGTGCTCAGCTCCAGGTAGGACCCGTTGAGCAGGTAAGCACCGGCTCCCTCGTTCTCCTCGTACTCGACGTAGAGGCTGTCGGCCGGGGAGCCCCTCGGGGCGCCCTGTGCAAAGATGCTGTTGCTGGTCTCATTGAGGGGGACCTCCCTGGAGTCGGAGTCCGTGTCCAGGAGCTGGTCGGAGATGGCGTTGGCCGAGAGGAGCTCCTGGGAGGTAAAATGGGCGCCGGTCTCTTGGTCATCCTGGTGTCCCGCATGAGCCGTCCCGGTGGCGTTGCCGTCTACAGGGGAGATGGGTGGCTCAACCTCCAGTGCCCCCTTGTGGCGGGGCAAGGGCTGCCCTGGGCAGGGGCGGAGCAGGGGGGCTGCAGCAAAGACCTGAACCGGGAAGCGTCCAGAGGCAGGTTTCTGCCCGATGAGCGGACACAGGTCGCCCGGCGGAGGCTCGCAAGCCGGCCTGGACAACCTCCTGTTGGGGAGCCTGCTTGACCCCTGCAGTGGGTTGGATAGGGTTTCCCCAAAATCCACATCTGCCCCGAACCTCAGAATGTGAGCTTATGTGGAAATAAGACCTTCACAGACATACAGATCTCCAGGTGAGATCGTCACGGACCCTATAACTGCAACGCCTGCTGTCCTTTTAAGAAGAGAACACGCAGAGACACACGGACGCAGAGGAGAAGCCGTGTGAAGACAGAGCAGAGTCTGCAGCGATGCGGCCACAAGCCAAGGGACGCCTGCGCCGCCGGGAGCTGGAAGCGGCGGGAAGGACCCTCCCCTGGAGCCTCCAGAGGGAGCACAGCCCTGCCGACACCTTGACTTTATTCCATAGACTTCTGGCCTCCAGAACGGGGAGAGAATACGTTTCTGAGGTTTTAAGCCGCCCGGTTGGTGGGAGTTTGCTGCAGGAGCCCCAGGGAACGAACACCGCCTCTAAAGTGTTTCCTACTTGAAGACTCTCAGGGTCTTGGAAACTTGCCCCCAAGTCAGTGAGGGGAGTCTCCTCAAGTCTGCTCTACCTCCACCCCTCAGCAGGGCTGATGGTCCAGCCCAGCCCCGACGTGTCACTCCACGGCCCTCAGGAGTACAGCCAAGCTGGCAGCGGGGGTCAGGGACTGTGACCCACCGCTGCGTCTTCAGCTGCACCTCCCCTGGAGCCTGTCCCGCCAGGCTGGCCCTCGCTGGGCCCCTCACCCCCGCCCCTCTCCTATGCCCTCCCCTGGCTAACCCGTACTTGCTCTGGAGCCCTCAGGTCAGGGGTCACCCTCTCCAAGAACTCGAGGTCCTCCCTGTGCCCCTCAGCTGCCCGTCATTCCCTCCCAGAGTTCTGGTCACACCTCGCGCGCTATGTTGTCTGTCTGTCTGTCTCCACTGAATGAGTGAGAGCACGGGCTACGGGGCCGGACCATCCTGGATTTGCCCCCAGCTCCTCCGTGGTGGACTGTGTGACACAGGCAAGACCCCTCCCTCTAAGCCTCAGTCTCCCCACCTGTCAAATGGGGATAACCATACCCACCTGGAGGAAGGTATGTGCAGAGGATGTCTGCTAAGGGCCGGCCCTGGGCCTGCCCGGTCAGCCTGCACGGAACCGGCCCCTCTGTCACCCTCTTCTGCAGGTGCCGGGTTCTGAAGACCCTTCACCCGAGGCCCCTCTCCCTGGGAAGCCCCGCCCCACCCCGCCCCTCCTCCTGGTTACCTCGGAAGCCCTTGCCCCTGGGGGGCCCCTCGCAGGCCCTGCCGCTGGCCTGCGCGCACACCTCGTTGGTCTCCTGGCCTTTGCTCAGACCCAGCTCGATCCCCGGGCCCCGGTGGCCGAACAGTCGGTTGTCCAGGCCCAGCTGCTCCGAGGAGGCCTGGCCGTAGAGGGAGCCGTTGTGCTGAAGGAAGCCCACCAGCCCAGCCCCGTCCAGCTCCTGGCTCTCCGTGCTGTCTGCGGTGGGCTCCGAGAAGCTGTAGTAGACGGGCTGGATGCGGTGGGCGTGCGGCGGCTGCAGCAGCGTGTACTCGAAGGTGATGGAAGGGCTTTTGCCGTTCTGGTTCCACACCTGGGGGAGGAGAAGAGGTGGGATTCCAAGCCCCCCCTCACCCCAGCCCCTTCCCCACCAGCCTGGAGCGGCTGCTGCGGCCCGCGGCCCACAAGCCCCTTGAGGACAGAAGACTCCTGTCCCTGAGCTGCAGAAGGCTTTCCTGCGGCGGCCTGCAGCCGAGTCCTTCCCAGGGACTCACCCTTGACCGAAGAACGCTGCCACGCCCACCCAAGGCTATGCGTGGCCCCAGGCACAGGGAGTGAAGGGTGCGCGGGGTGCAGATAATGTTTTAAAGGTAATAAAATTAATTAAAACCCAACCTGCATTTTACTATCACCACGTGCCAGAAATCCCAAGTTATAGGAGTGCACCGTCCCCACCACCTTCCCCCCGGAGCCCCCCACTGCCAGCCGAGCGCAAGTACCAGGGCCCAGGCCCCTGAGGACCGTCCCAGCATCAGAGCTGACTGGGGGATGGGCTGAGGTTTCTGTCGAGGCTGCGTCGCCCCCCAGCTTTCCCCCCTGACTGTCCTGCTCCCCCGACTGAGTGCTCGCGGGTCTTTCGAGGGACGCCACCTAAGTCAGCTGGTGTCAGAAGCCCCAGGAAGCAGCTCTCAAATGGGAGTTTGGAGCGGGATCCCCCGCCAGCAGCGGTGACGCGAGCCCTCCCTGGCGGTGCATGGACCCCTGAGATCCCCCCAGGTGTCAGGCTGGAATGAGACATCAGAGGAAGAAAACGTGCTTTGGGCGCCATGACTCAAGTGTTGGGAGTTGGCTGGGCTTGGGGTGTACCTTGAGAAAGGAGAAAGGTCTTCGGAATGTGGCGCTTTGGAGATAGACAGTGAAAGGCTAGGGTGACATCACCACCAAACCTCCAACCTAAGGCCAAGCCAGAGCGTTACCTCCTAGGTGTTACACAGAGACTCGCATGTCCTCCAGCAGGGCCAGAAAAGGTGGAAGAACGTCAGCGAGCCGGGGCATGTTGGCTTCTCCACCTCGCCAAGAGCCCGACCGGGAGGAGACTTGGGGCGTGGGGGTCTGAGTCAATCTGCTTAAAAATTTTGAAATCTCAGACTCCCCTGAATCTTTGAGCCTAAAAAGTGGCCATTCCTCACTGTTAAGGCCAGCATCTGGCCCTCGCCTGAAGATCGCACGGAGACCTCTGCCTCCCGGAGGGCCTTGCCCACCACCTCCCAGGGCCACCTGGCTGATGGCTCACGTTAAGCGCCCTCTTCACCTACTCAGGGGAGCCCTGGGGCTGCTCGGGGGAGACGGGGCCATCGGCAACGACCCTGCAGAACCAGCCGCGGCAGACGGCAGAAGCTGAGCCTGGATGGGGGGAGTCCCTCCTGTGGGAGCCCCGGCTCAGGATGGAGGAGGGACCACGCTCGCAAGCACCCCGGGAAGGTGAGGCCAACACACTAAGGGGAGGACCCGTGCTGACACCACCATGGCAGACGACGGAAGAGGGAGGAAAAGGCTGGAAAAGCCACCAGGTGACTATTTTCTGCAGGATCCCCTGGAGGACGTTCCGGCCGCCACAGTGAAAGGAAGCGTGATGGTGAAGGGTCACCCACGTCACTCAGAGGGACACCTAGAGGGATGGTGGTGGGTGTCCTCCTAGGCCAGGGCCGGTGGCAGGAGATGCCAGTACAGAGCTGAACTGTCCATGGTGATCGGACAAGGGGGCTCAGGTACTGTAACGAGCAATGAGGTTGACACGGTAGCCAGGGAGCTTGAGCATTTGGACACGGCTGACAGAACAAAGGACTCCTAGGGGACAAATGCATGGGCCCAGCAAAGGTTCTTCTCAACCTGTATGATCAGAAGAAATCGCGGGTGGATGACCGCAAAGCAGACGACAGCTGCCACATAAACGTCACAGTCGCTGCCCAGTTTCCTGGACCACGTTTCAGACCCAGAATCTGCTGGAGGATGGAATAGCCAGGTCCCCAGGAAGAATGATCCCCAACTGGTTGATATGGCCATGATTCCCCCGGTTCTTCCACCGAAGAGCCCACAGCTATTTACTTGGTGAGCTGCTCAGTGGAGAAACGGGTAGACATTGTGGGACCAGGGTTCAAGGTGTCATTGTTAACCAGGGACCCAAAGCATCATTACTGTCCCTGTTACGGTGAGGGCACGTGGATGACAAGTAATGGCCCAAACAAGGCCCAGGTCTGGTTGACAGTCTATCCGCTGGATCTAAGGCTCACCCAGCCCCCAAACGCATAACTGGGAGTCAGCAGAACTCTCCTGTTGGCTGCTTGACCTGGGCGGGGAGTAAATCAGAAACCATATTGCATCCTGGGGGGGAAAACACAGAGATTAGCGCCGCGCAAAGACCTAAAGGATGCAGGCGTGCTGACCCCATCATAGCCCCCATTTCATTCAACAGTTTGGCCCCTACAAAAGCAAGACAGATCCAGGAGGGTGACAGTGGATTCCTGCAAACTCAACCGAGCTGTAGCCCCAGTTGCAGCTTTGGGACAGATGTGGCATCTTTCTAGAGCAGATTAACATGCCCTCAAGTTGACCATCTGGCAAATTCTTTTCTACCCCCATCAGGAAGGAGAAGCAGAAGCGCTCTGTTTCATACATTTAGAGCTCTGACCCAGAGCTATGGTTGACTCCCGCTTCCCGTCATAACACGGTACAAACGGGTCTGGACCGTCCTACAGAACATGACATTGGTCCACTACATTGACGACATCATGTTTATCAGACCTGATGAGCAGGAAGGGGCACTGGAGGCCTTGGTATAACATCCGTATTCCAGAGGATCGGAGATTAACCCCTGTGAAGACTGGCCCCACATCAGTGACAATCTCAGGGTCCAATAGCCTAGGGCAGCACAAGACATCTCCTTGAAAATAAAGGGAAACATCATATCTCATGCCCCCAATCGTGAAGAATTTAGGAAACAACATTTCCGCATCAGGGAATATTGGTCCAATCCATATACTGGATTTGCCTTGAGTGGGGTCCTGAGGAGAAAGGGCTCTGCAGGAGGCCCAGGCTGTGATGCAAGCAGCCCACCACCTGGGCTGTAATACCCAGCAGCCCCTGCAGTAGTAAAGGTGTCCGTGGTGGGGAAAGATGGACTGTGGCGTTTCTGGCAAACTTTGCTAAGAAAATGATAACGTAGACCCCTAGTGTTCTAGAGGAAGGCCATATCACCTAAAATAAATAGACGTTATTTGCAAAAACCTCCCGGTGTGCTATCAGACCCTACTAGAGATGACCCTTTGACCGCAGGACATCAAGTGACCCACGCAGCTAGAGCCGAACGTTATAACATGAGGTCTCTCAACCCCGTTAAGTTACGGGGTCAGGAGGGACCAGCAGCAGTCCAGGGCTAGAGGGACAGAAGAGCGGGAGACCCAGCCTCCCAGCATCCGGGACTCCGGTACCAGCGTCCCTCTCTCAGCTCACAGCTACGGCTGCACGGAGCACCCTTAGGGTGAAGACAGAGAGGAGCGACATGGCAACACTTGGCTCTGAGCTGCGGCAGCTTGGTCGGGGGGTGCGAGCTGAAGATGGGATTGCTGTGAAGGAAAATCCTCCCAGAGGGCTTCAGGCCGTACAGTAAGGTGGTCACCCAATCTGTTTGGAAGGCAGAGTGGCCCTAAGTAAGAATAAATCCTGACTCGTGGGCAGTGCACTTGGCTTGGCCGGGAGCCTGGATGGAAAAGACTTTAAGATCGGGCATGAGGAGGTCTGGAGAAGGCACGCGCAGTTGGATCAGTGGCGGAGACGTAACATGTGAAGGTCTCTGGACCACCTGTTAAGGCACACTACAGGGCGCCCACCCTGGGAGGGGCACGAAACAAACGGGTGAGAGACAGAACGTCTTTGCCACCTGCCATGGGCCAGGCTCTGGCATTGGTCAGGTGGGTGGTCTCTGTCCCCACCATATCCGTCAGCCTCCATGAAAGCCGGCAGGCCTCCAAGAGCCTCTTGACATCACCTGATTTCGGTGATAATTCCTCTGCCATTTCAGATCTGGGGCACCAAGCGGCAATGCCGTTCATTTCTAGACAGTAGCCACGGGAAAAGTCCCGGCAAGCTGGCCATAGCAAGCCAAACTCTCTTGCCCTCTGCTCACGCCCCACGCACTTCCCCCAGAAGCCATGAGCATGCTGGGTGCAGCATCAGGGGGACAGCCGTGACAAGCACCGCCATGGTCCCTCAGCATCAAGGACCTGGCAGGAATGCCACAGTGTCCATGGGGCTGAGGGTAGGGAACTCCATGGGGGGCTTGAACCCCAACCTGTGGAGTGGGGAGTGGGTCCTGCATCCCTCTACCCCATCCAGCCTTCTGTCCTCATCTCCCCACACAGTTCCTGATGCCCTGCACAGAACCTCCTGCTGTGCACATCCTCCAGGGGTGCTAACAGAGGGAAGGAAGGAAGGAAGGAGGGAAGGAAGGAAGGAAGGAGGGAGGGAGGGAGGGGAGAGGAGGGTCACACAAGTGAGAGTGTGAGTCAGCAGGTGCTTGGGTGAACAAGTGAACAGGTAAATGAATTAATGAGTCAATGGGAGACTAGTGAAGGAATGAAAATCTGAGTGAGGGCTGGGTCGAGGGAGTGACTCAGTGAGTGAATGAGGGACTGAAGGAATGAGGCCCACCCCGAGATGCGTGGAGGCGCTGGCCCAGAAGCCCCCTGCCTGCTGCCGGCTTCTGGGGAAGCCCCGGAGCCGCGGCCCACGCACCATGACGTTCAGGCCCTGGTTGGTGGGCCCCTGCGCCACGATGTACTCGATTCCCGTCTCGTACACGTCCATGGGCCGCCTGTACTTGACCACGGTGCCGGCGATGTTGAAGTTCTTGGGGCTGTCCACCTTGAAGTTGCCATTGAAGAAGTAGTAGCCGGCTTCATCTGCAAGAGCTGAAAGGGCACAGCTGCCTGGTCACCTGAGCCGGAGCGGCCGGAGTGGGGATGGGGTGGGGGGCAGGACCTCGCACTCGGGGCCTCTGGCCAAACTGTGGATCCCTGCGACCCTCCCCAAACACCCAAAGACAGGAAACTGCACGTCGTGGGAGTGGGACTCTCTGTTTGCACACGGCATGTGGCCCTGGCCAGGGAGATGTGGGCCCTCCTTCCTATCAGCCTAAAATAAACAAGGGCTTGTCTGGATGACTGAGGGTGGCTGGCCCAGGGCCCACTCGGTCCTGCCGTTCCTGCCGCCCCCAAAGGGCCTGGGGCTGAGAGGTGAGGTAAAGCATAGGGACCAAGCGGCCAGGTCGAGACACACGCTGGACAGCAGGTGTCCGCCAGGTTGGGGCCGGGTCACCGTGCCTGGCTCTGCTGCAGACTTCCCCATGTGAGCCGGGCTGACTTGGCACCCCCAGCTTCCCCTCCCCCGACACGGGGAGGGGACTGTAGTGCCCCACCAGGGCCCAGGCCGAGCAGCACTGCAGCCCTGTCCCAGCGGCCCCAGCAGGCCCTACCCGACCCCAAGCTGACCAGTTCCGTGCTCTCGCTGGGAGCATGACATTCTGCCGCCCAGACCGGGGGACCCGGGTGACCGTGGGCCGGATCGGCCCACTGCCCCCGGGGTGGCTCCCAGTCAGCCTCTCTCTGAGGCGGGGTGCCGGTGGACGCTTGGAACCAAGGACTTCAGAAGGACATCCACTCCCAGAACTGGAGCGCGATGACGCCCAGACAGCGGGAACGCACGTGCGGCCCCCGCAATGGGCTGGGACATCTGTCCAGAGGCGGGACGGCTGGCCCTCCCTGGGAGGCCCGGGGCCGTGGGGCGGGGCTCCACCTCGGGGACAGTGTGTCTTCCAGAGGGTTTCTTTAGAGCCCGTGCCAGGAACTAGCCCGAAGGTGGGGAAGAGTCCAGCTTCCAAAGCTTCTGATGCAACTCCAAGCGGAGGAGACGGGCGGTTAATTTATTATCAGGCAGACGCAGCAAGGAGGACGCGTCTGCTGGAAAAACACCCTCCATGTGGCGACGCTGAAAACTAACGGGGACAAGAGCGGGAGCTGGGCGAGGGGGACACGGACGGGCCGGGTCTGTGCACAGGGTTAAATCCCTGGCCCGAGTCCAAACCTGTTTCCTGACAGTAACGACCTTCCTTCCTGTGGCTTTCCCAGTGCTCGGAGGCTGCCCTTGGTATTTCCATGCGTCTGTTTCAAGAACGATGGCTTTGCAGCCAGCTCTGGGAACACGGTGTTTCCTGGCCTCACCACCCTCCCAGCGGGCCACAGAGCAACCGGCCTGGCAGAGGCCTGGCCCCCGTGCTCGGGCCGCAGGGGCTGGGGCCTGGAACGTGCAGGCCGGCCGGCTGGGGGCTGGGGCTCAGGACCCCAGGCACTGGGGCCCCGGGGCCTGAAGGGCCGAGAGCCCGTGCTGAGCTCAACCTTGAGGACCTTTAGCAAAGGCCCACCCTCCAGCCCTGCGTCCCCTTAGAAGGGTTGTCGCGCCCCACCAGCCCTGGCCCCCGAGAAGCTGCCCTGAGAGGAAGGGAGGTGAGCCCTGCCCGGGTCCCCCACCTGCCCTGCGCAGATCGGCTCACAGATGTCAGTATCTGCCCTCCTCGGCCAGAAGGGGCTCCCCTGGGGTGCAGACAAGGTGCACTGCCCCGCCAACTTCCCACTGCACAGGGAGCCCTTCCAGAAATTGTCACCAACGTGGGGCCTCACCGCCTCAGTCACCATGCCAATGACTCCACAATCCTCAAGGACCCCTCCTGAATCCAGCTTCCCACCAGAGACAGTCCAGTGGCCAAAACATCAACTCGAGGGCCCCAAATGGGAGTTTGAATCCCACCCCTGCTTCTCGTCACCCTTGGCCTCAGACTGGCCACCTACTCCTTCTCGCTCTGCCTCAACCTTCTCAGCCCCAGAGTCTCACTCCTCGGACCTGGGGGGGCAGCGGGGGGAGCAGAGAGGCCGCCGCCAGCACCTCCAGCTTTTGCCTGTGCCTTGCCCTCCAGGGACGGGGAACTCACTACCTGAGTCATGACCCACTCCATTATTAAGCAACTCTGAGTGCAACACCTCTGCACACATGGGGGTGAGGTCAGCTTCCCTACGACACCCCCACCACCGCCGCCACATGCTACACACATGCACCCACCCAGGTCAAACTCTGGCTTCTGGGGCCATCCCTCTCCTGCAAGAAGGGACCCAAGGTCAAGTGTCCCCTGTCCACACAGAACCCACACATTTCACCCCATGCGAAACCACAAGCCCCTGTGACGCCACCCAGGCCCCACATACACACCTAGGACGTCCGCAGACTTCTTCCGCTCCACAATCTGGATGTCTCGGGCACCGGCCGGGATGTGGGTCACCAGAGAGTAACCTGGGGGACACGGAACAACGGTGAGCAGCAGGCCGGCTGTGGCCACTGCCTCTCGACTGCAGGACGGCAGCCACCACCCTCCTGCACTCCTGGCGTGTGAGGGGCAGCGTCTAAGGGCAGCCCCTCCCCGCTGCCAGAGCTGTGCACCTGGGGCCCAAGAGGCAAGTCCAGGACCTGGCGGAACACGCCCTGCCGCGGGAGAGCTGACCCACCGCTCCGGCACGGCCCCAGCATTCCCCGCTTCCGAGACGCTTTCCTACCAAGGCTGCGGGAGATGCTCCCTGGTACCTGCCCTGTTCCTTCTGAGGCACGCCACAGGCCACAGGGACCATAAGTCTGCTGGAGTCAACATACGTGGGCCCTGCTCTGCCACTACCACCAAGGTGACCCTGAGCAGGCTGCTGCAGCCCTTGGGCCTCAGTTTTCTCGCCTGTACAGGGATGACGGCCCCCACTCTAGATGACGGAGGAGATTCTGGGTAGCACAGAGCCCGGCCCTGAGGACGTCATCACCGGTGCTATTTTAGAAACCCACGTTGTCATACCATCACGTTGATTTTAAAGGCTTGCTACATTCAAAGGTGTAAATGAGAAAGTACGAGGCCCCAGCTCAGGGCCTGTCATCGAAGGCCCCAGTCAGGTGGGGTGGCAGCCACGGAGACCCTCACAGAGCCCCCCACAAAGGGACCAAGGGTCTTGGGGGGCAGAGGTCTGAGGAAGGGACCGTGCTGCCAGCAGGTGGTAGAGGGTTTGCTGGGAGAAGGAGGGAGGTTGTTTTAAAGCCCTCAGAGTGAAAAGCCGTCTGGGAGAGGGTGGTGAGGGGCTTCTCGAGTCAGGTTTGCTGGGGTTGATGCCCAAGTCACCCGAGGGGCACGTGGGCCCGCCTGCCAGGTGAGCCGCTCCTGCCGGCCGCCCCCATTTACGGCCCCCTGAAGACCCTGAGCTGGTCCTTCCGGCCCGCGGGGAGCCCCTAAACGCCTAACCACTGGCTCTCTTGGCAGGAGGACAGGAGCAGCTGTGACCTGCAGTATCGGCCGATTTCCGGAGGACAAGCGCTTCCACCCACTGTGGCCGATGTCAAGCTGCCAGCTTGTGTCGCTGGGCGCAGAGTCGGGAAAAGGGACACAGTCGTTTACCTGCTGCCCTAGTATTTCCAGCTGACAGACACAAGAGTTATAGAGGTAAAACGATCAGGAAATGATGACTCTGCTTAAATATCATTTACTTAAATGAAGGTTTATATGTGTTCGTTTTTAAATGAGCGCCCAGCTCCGAGATTCTTCACCACGGCTACCTCGCACACATCTACCAGGGGAGCACGTGGGTCACCGCTTAGGACCACAGACCCGGGAGCAGGCTGTCTGCGTTCACACCCACCTCTGCCTCTTCTGGCTGTGTGACTTGAACCCAGTTTCTTAACCTCTCTGTTTCCACATCTGTAAATGACAACAGTGGTAGTCCCCACCCAGAGTCAAGAGCTGGGAGCGAGTTAACCATGCTGCACTTGGCTCCGTGCAGCGCACTTGGTAGAGTTATAGGTGGGCTTGGGTAAGGGTCAGCCCCAGGCCCCCAAGCTGAGAGCTCCACGCGGGCATGAACCTTACTGCCGCACCTGGCACCCAGGAGGCGCTCAGAAAGAGACGCACCCTCTGAACCCTGCCTCTGCCAGCTCGACGCCCCAGCATCTGGCGGAAGGTCCCAAAAGCAGGTTTGTGAACGGAAGGGAGGAAAGGCGCGATGTCTTTGCCCGCGCCCTCCCACGGCTAGGCCTCTGAAGAAAGCGGCCTCTGCCCACTGCGCTCGCCCTGCCTTACTCAGACCCCTGCCCGGCTGGGCTTCCGCTAAAGACACCCCTCCTGTCCTCACCCTGCCTCTCCTCAGTCGGCATGTCCATCCCTGGGTCTCTCGTCCAAGCCCTGTAACTCTAACTCCGAAAGTGTCCGTCCCCTCCACCTCCAGGACACGTGGGGGTCCCGACAGCCAGGTCCTTGGGGGCTCTCGAGGGGTTGGCTCTAGTCCAGACGCACCTGGCCTCACTGAGGGACCTCGAGCCGGCAATTCCCACCCTGGGCCTCAATTTCCCCATCTGTCAAATGGGTTTCAAGCTGCCCTGCCTTTCCCAGTCTGCAGGCTGTGATAACCCAGTTTAATCCCACAAGCATTAACTGAGACCCAGGAATGTATTCAGTTCAAGACTGAGTATTAGAAGCAATATCCTTCCAAAAGTGCAAAGTCCTGTCACAGGCACAGACCCCCTGCCCGCCCCTCCCCCAACCCCCAGGAGGGCTGGCTCTGTGCTGCGGCCGGCGCGGAGCTGGCGGGAGCCTGGGCACCGCTTCAGACCTTGAAACTAGGGTTTGAGAGCTTAGGCCCCAGCATCTGTGCGCCCAGACCTCAATCTCATATCAGCGGTAAGGACGGAACGCGTGCCTCAGTTTCCCCCTTTTAAGGATGGTATTAACATCTCCCTGAAGGCTGCGCTTGGGTCAGATGTGGTCCCCAATCCCTGTGAGCACTGCGGCACCTGGTATCCAGCAGGTGCTCAACACAGAGCTGCTGCTCTTCCTGTAGCCAATGGGGGCCTTACAGAGCCACTGGCCAGCCCTGCTGGGCCTGGGTGGAGGATCGGGGCGCCCAGGAGGGGAAGGACCCTGCACAGTCACTTAGCAGCCGGCGGCAGGATCCCACGGGCCCTGGACCCAGAGCGGCAGGGGCTCTTACCCAGGTGGGTGTTCCCCTTGCGGTAGTTGCCTGTCACGTGGGTGCAGCTGCTTCCGTCCCCCTGGCAGACGCCACACTTGTCCAGCGTGTGGGTGGAGAAGAGCACCCCGTCACAGCCGATGGGCTGCAGGAAGGGAGGTGGAGAGGCTGCTGGGAGGGCGCTGAGGCCCGGGCCCCGGGGCCGCCACTGCCTGGGTGGACAGGTGGGCGGCCGGCGCAAGGAGACCGGTGGTACTTCTGCTACAATGTTGAACAACCTCACATTTTCCAGACACGCAGACCCCTCGCAGGTCGGCAAGCTTGCAGGACGTGCCGTCGCGGGCGGGGACCATGAGTTGGCGCTGGCCATCCACGGTGGTGCAGTGCAGGTCGCACGGCTTGCTGGAGATGTGCACATAGTCATCTGATGGGGGAGACAGGGTCTCAGGGCGGCTGGCGGGGGCCAGGGTCAGGGACCTCCCCTCCCCCACACTGAGACGGCCCTTCTTTCATGGCACAGATGGGGAAACGGAGGCCTGGAGAATGGAAAGAACTTGCCTGGGGTCTCAGTGGCAGAAACGGACCAAGATGCAGGTGATCTGGCCCAGCCCAGGCTCTGGAAGTCCAGCCTCTGCCGCCCTGTGAGTGGGGGGCAGTGTCCCCTCTGCAGGAGGTCTGAGCCGACTTGATGGCCCTGGGCTGCCGGTCCTGGGGACCCTGCACTTACCCGGTGAGCGGGAGAGGCCAAGTCATTTACGCTGCCGCCTGAACTTCTTATGACCTTGGACGAGACCCACCCCCCGCCACCTCTGGGCCTGTTTCCCCACCTGCCTACCCACTGGACGAGGACATTCCCTCCCACAGGCCCCAGGAAGTGACCCTCAGGTATAGATCCTGCCAGAGAATTCCCTGCTGGGTGGCCCAGGGCCACAGTACCGGGATAGAGCGGCTTCCACTGGTGCGTCCGCCCGTTGTACACACGGGAATTGAAGGAGATGCACTGCTCCTCGCGGAAGCTCCTCCCGTCCGGCGGACACTCCTGGGAAGCGGGAAGACAGGGCGGGAGGCTCTGGGAGGGACTCGGCCCGACAAAAGCATTTTTGTCCAGGCAGAGCAGGAAGTGGCTCTCCTCCGTGCTCTCCGTCTCTCGGGCTCTCTGGAAGGAGGGAGGGAGGACCAAGCCTCCAGCACCCACGTGTGCTGGCCCTCCCCGTGCTCTGGGCTGGATCCTTTCAGCCCCACCGCCCCGGCCTTCTCCCCGGCCGCACATGGAGCGGCAGGGACACCGGCCTCGGCAGTGCTCGCGCGGGGTCCCCACGCGCCCCGCATCCTCGGGCAGGAGCCCGTCTGCGTGTCCGCAGCCATAGCCACAGTGCCTGGGACACGGGCACTGACTGCATGGGCCTGACTTCGCAGAAGAGGGGCCCGTGGGGCAGAGGGGAGGGGCCTGTGCGGGGCCCAGCTGCTCACGCCGCGGCCAGAAGCCGAACTGGGCCAGGGCTCCCTCCCGAGCTCACGTCAGGAGGGCAGCTGACCAGCGAGGCCAGCACAGAGGTCATGGCCGCTCGCCTCCCTCCAGCCCCTAACTCCCCCCGTGTGCCCACACAGACACGTGGACGCAGGGACATGGGGACACGCACAGCATCAGCTCTCTGCCCTGCCCCCCGTCCAGGGGGTCCGGTTCAGATTGGCTTTGGCCCCGTCGAGAGGTGACCGGAGGGTGAGCCAGAGTCAGCACCTCCTGCCCAGACCCGGCCACCTCGGTGCAGCACGCGACTGACAGAGAAGGTTTCGCTGCTGAGGGCGCAGAGAGCAGAGGCGGGCGCACGGGGGGATGCCGGTGACCCCAGTCCCCCGGGGAGACCCGCGAGCAGGCTTCACGCTGAGCGCGGGGGCCGCGTGCGCCCCTAGACCCCAGACCTTGAGGTCATGCTGGAGTTCCGCCAGCAGAAGTGGGTCCTTTTCCCCTCAGGTGCCCGCAGCCCGTGGTGGGCACCACAAATTTGATTTGATGCCGGAAGGGGGGATTCTGAGCCCGGAGGCCCTCACCACCCTTCTCTTCAACAGGGTGTAAGTGGCAGGCCCTGGACAGAGTGTCCAGAGGGCCCAGGGCCACCGGGAAGCTGCCCTGAGACCTGCCAGAGAAGGGGGATGGGGGAGGGGGTCCCGGCTGGCGGAGCCTCACCTGTACTCTGCAGAGCTGGTACCTCTTGGACGTGCCCGTGCAGGTCCGGTTCCCAGTGCCCATGACAGACGTCCTCCTGGCGGGAGGACACGGGCTGCAGCCCTGACCCTGCTTCTGCTCCTGGGCGGCCTCTGGGCTACTCCTCCACCACGCTGCCCCCGAGCCTGCTCTGATTCCTCTGACTGAGGCCTCCTTCCTCCCCACTCAAGCCCCGCTGCTGCACCAGAGCCCTCTCACGTCACAGGTATTCAGGTAGTTTGAGGGTGTTCCTTAGCCCCTTCTTCAGGGGGAGGGGTGAGAGCCAGTTCACCTCTCTGTCCCCAGCACACAGCAGAGGGTCTCAGGACACAGAGTTAGTAATAAAATAACAACATTTACCATGTGTGGGCCCTGTGCTGCAGTGCATGCACACACACTGTCTCTTGTATTCTCAGAAATGTCAGGTGGACTCGAGCATAATCTCCACGCCACAAATGAGGAAACGGACGCTCAGAGAGGTTAAGTGACTTGCCCAAGGTCACACAGCTAGGAAGTGGCCGAGGCAAGATTTGAACCCAGGTCTGGCCAACAGTAACCACTGCACCTTATGCTTCCCCATGTTTATTCAACTCAGGTCTTCAGAAGAGAAACCCAGGGTGGGCCTGACCCCTCACTGAAAGAGCCCTGGAAAGGGAGCAGGACGAACCCCAGGACGCTGTCGCCTGGGACCCAACAGAAGCCACGTCCCCAACGGAGGCCAATGAAAAGACTGACTTGCTCACCCGGCCTGTACAGCCTCAAACAGAAGACCCCTCTCCCAGCCCGAGACCCCCCCACCTCCCAGGCCTCCCTTTCCCGTGCAGGCGGCCCCACTTTCACGCCAGCCCCTCAGGGCCACGTGCTCAAGCCCCGCACCTCTGCTGCAGGCAGTGCCGCTCCTGGGACGTCACCCCAGCCCCGCAGCTGCGGGAACACGCCGTCCACTTGGTCCACTCTCCCCACCAGTAGGCGGTGGCATCGGTGCCCGCCTCCAGGCTGTTGGATGTTGGGCTGTTGTCCTGGGTGAGAGGCCCCACGACAGTTAGAAGGAGGCTGGAGCACCTGGCCGGACGGGCCTGCCGTCCCCGTGCCCTGGACAGGAGGACACAGCCCCCTGGGTGGGTTGCTCGAAGCCTAGGCTCAGATCTCCAGGGCGGTCGCTGGGGGACCTCCCAGGGAGCCGTGGGCCTCGGGTCCTGCCCCATCTGGGGATCTGGAACATCCTGGGAGCTTGGCAGGATCCTGAGGCTGAACCTAACCATCCTTTCTTTTCCCCGAGCAGCCTGGGCTCTGCGGGACCCAAACCTGCCCGTCCACACGCCACACTCCGGGGCTTCTCTCAGAAGGTGAGCAGTCAGCCCCTGTCCTGCCGAATCAGCAAGGACTCTGGAGCGGCCGGAGCCCCGCACTCAGGGGCTGGCCTCACTGGCTTGTAAGGCACGTTCCTGGGAGCGGGAGGGGATCTGGGAAGGCACTCCAGGACCCCCGGACCCCTGCCCCATGTCTGCCACCCAGCCCTCAGCGTCAGCCCACCTGGGCGAAGGGTCGTGCTCCCCACTCACCACGGCCCCTGTGGACGATGCACCCCCAGCCACAAGTGCCACAGCCAGCAGGGACCAGGCCCAGCGTGAAGGCTGCCATCTGCCATCCATCCTAGGAAGCAAGGGCACAGTCACTGCCAGGCCAGGTCCAGCTCCTCTTGCAGCCGGCTGGAGTCCGCTTGGGGGAAAAGCTCCCGGAGCCCACCCAGTGCTGAGGCCTGAGGTTATCTGGGACTGGTTGGTAGTGGCGGTCTGGTGGCCCTGTTGGGAGGGCTCGATGAATGATTAGAGATGCCTGCACAGGCTTGAGACACCAGGGTGGTGGTGTGCACGCTACGCCCGTACCACCTGATCTGAGGGCATCTGGGGACATGGGCCACGCTTTGCCTCTGAATAGCTGAGCTGCCTGGGGAACGCCTGGAGAGAAACCCAGGGACACCTATAGGCCCAGGCTGCATCCACTGGACGAAGGAGCTGAGGGTCGATCCATTACCTCGGCCGGTCGACCCGACCGAGAGCACCTTGGGATTTTTAGCTGTTCAGCGCTTGCTGGCCACGTGGGAGAACGATCCTTCCCGTCGGCTACATGGAGCTGCTGGAGGGGGCCGTGGACGCCACAGACTCTGCCAGGCCCTGTCCCTCCCTGGACACAGCTTCCCCCTGCCCTGAGGGACCCCACGCTGGGCAGAGCCCAGGCGTCTGTGCCCCCTCCTTCCCAAGAGAAGACACACAGCTTGTGCCTCCGGAGTGCTGGAGCGAGGGTGGCCTAGGACCACGGGGCTGTCTCCCAAGGAGTCAGCACCCTCAGCACAGAACACTACTGGACCTCCGAGCCAGGGGTCAGATCAAGGGGAGCCTGCAGCCTCCCGGGCCCTCAGCCTCCCCCATCTGTCCCTGAGACGGAGGAGCGGGGCCTACAGCGGCCTCTGTCCAGGGTTTGTCTCAGGTCCCGAGTGTGACTTGCCAGAGGGTTGGAGGAGTTTCTAAAGCCATCAAGCCCACCCCCTAGAGCCTGGAACCAGAGAGGGGAGCCAACTTGCCCGAAGCAACACAGCCAGGTGGCCGACCAGCCCCCAGCCCCCAGAGCAAACTCAGGGACTAATTCCAGGGAGAGTAGGCAGGAGAGCCCCCCTCCCCCACGCCTGCCAGCCCTGAAACTAAGTCCACATCTGCCCCCTTCCCTCCTCCTTCAAACCCTCGTTTCCGCACGGCTCAAGCACCTGCAAATTTTCAAGAGTTACGCCAATGACACCCTCACACCCCAAGAATGTCTCTGCCCTCTCTCTGCCCCAGGGAGGCGGCAGTACACCCCAGAGCCTGGAGCCAGAGCCCTTGAGATCCGCACCTCCCGGCCGCCGGCCTGCCACCGCTCCAGCCGGCTGCCGCCCCTCCCCCGCAGGCCTCCATCTACACCCCCCAGCCTCCCGCAGGCACAGAGGCCCCTCGGCGTCCCATTGGCTAGTCTGTGCCCCGGCTCCTGCCTGCAGGCTGAAGACAGGTGCTGAGCGGCTGCACACTTGGTTTTCATTAAGGCTCCCAGACACCGCTGGCTGCAGGCCAGGCCCGGCTCACGCGGGACCCATCCCTCCCTGGGGTCCAAAAACAGCCACCGGCCGGCGGGAGAGACTTGCCGTGCAAACAAGGGCTTCAGGCGCGGTAGGCTAGGAGCTGAGGGGCCCCCCCGCGCCCACGCTCGGAGGGTCTGGACCCCTCCCCACCAGCCCTGCTCCTGTTACATAACGGCTCCCCCGAGGGGCCCGGGGATGCCATGCATGCACTTGGGGCTGCATCTCGTGCCCTAGCAGGGCTGCGGTGGGAAGCGGGACGGCGGGGAGGAGGCCTACCTGGCCGGGGGTCAGCAGGTTGTCCTCGGACGAAAGGGGCCGAGCCTCTGCTGCGGGCAGGCGGCGCCAGGTGCGCGGTGCGGGGGAGCCTCGGGGCGCAGAGGGCGGCGGGCTGGGCCTCTCTCCCTTCCTTCTCCTCCCTCTCGCCGCCTCCCTCCTCCACTTCAAAGAGCACCCACGAGAGGGGGTTCCCGGGAGGCGCGCAGCCCAGTGGCAGCTCCGCGGCGCGGCGGCCTTTATAGCTGTCAGGCAGACAGGGAGGAACTCACACTTCCCACCAGGCTGCTCCCCCTCCCGCCGCCCGCCGGCCGGCCTGGCGCACACTTTAACCCGCTCCGCGCCTCTGGAGCCCGGCCAGGCCGGCCCAGCTGCCTGCTGACTGCTGCCGCGGCCACGAGCAGGGAGGCCGCCTTCCCAGGTCCAGAACACGGGACTGCGTGTCCGGGTGTCCAGACAGAGTGCCCACTGGCCCGGGGTCACAGGGGAGGTTGGCGGCGGCAAAGCCGAGCCCCAGGCTTGGTCCGTCGGATTTCTGCTTCCAGAGGGGGCCCAGTCTCTGCCACTCCCCAGAATGGAGTCTGGGGTGTATGAGGCATCCAATCCAATAGCTCCGTTTTACGGACGGAAAGACTGAGGTCGAGAGGGGACACCATGCTCTGAGGTCATCCAGCCAGCCTTGGAGAGATTCTCCTGAGAAACGGAGGCCTGAGCAGGCGGAGGGACTGAGGGAGACGCAGCAAGGCTCAGCTGAGGGTTCCGGGGAAGGGACAGAAGTGCCCACGGCCTGCGGGCCAGACGGCGAGGACGGCCAGAGCCGGTCGGGGAGAGGCGCGCGGAACTCTGCAGATGTTCAGCACCAGCTTGGCAGGGCACAGCGGCCTGGCTGGGCGCGGGCCAGCTGGGCAGCCCCTGGCAGGCCGGCGTGGGGCTCCAGCCTGTGTTCCTGCTGAGTCAGAGCGTGGAGCAGAGCACGGAGCCAGCGGCACGCACTTCGGCCCCCAGGCACCCAGGGAGGACCCCAGACATTGCAAGTTGCCCCGGAAACAACGCCAGGCGCCCGCCCCGCACACCAGCCTCCCTGGAGCCCACCCTCCCGGCACCTCCGCGCGGTGGGGGTGGAAGTGGGGCGGCCCTGAGCCATTTCATCCATCCCCCTGCCTCTGCGCTGCGGATGGCTCCCAGTGGCGCCTGGAAAGCCCTCCCCATCCCTGCACCCTCCCTGCCGGAAGGAACTGTGGTGAGCTCCTCCAGTTGCCTCCCTGGGCGACTGAGAATCATTCCACCCCTGGGAAGATTCTGCCACCAACAGGAATGGTCAGGGAGGAGAGCAACCAGAGATGATCCTGAAACCAACAAGGCCTGCTGCCCTGCATCGAGTTCTCCCTCTGTGCTGAGAGCTAGGAGGTCAGCATCTTTGCTCTCCCCACTTTACAGATGGAGGAACTAAGGCCCCGAGACCGCTGGGTGGTGCCCGGGGTCGCACGTCTGGGGGCGGCACACCAGGGACCCCAGCGTCCTTACTGAGCACATCCTCTCCATCTGGCAGGTTCTTGTATCACGTTCATCCTCCCCAGACCCTCTGGGAGGCAGGTCTCCTCCATCCCATTTTCCCCCTGGGGCCCCTGGGTGGTTGGGAGGAACCAAGACTCAAACCCAGGTCCACGCTGCCCCCTGGGGTCAGCATGCTGAAGCGCAGACACGATGGAACCCGTCACGTGGCACTGGTGCGCGTGCACACACGCACGCACACACGCAACCTCACAGGCACACACAGGGGCACACGCTAGTGCACACACAGGCACACACACTCACCGGCCCCTCACAGACACACTGCTGATGACTCGCGCCCTGGGGCCTCTGCCCCCACCCCTGCCCCGCCCCTGCCCCGCCCCCCAGGCGCCAGGGCTCTGACCCCCGGGGCACGCTCCCGAGCTCTCCGGGCATTGCTGGATCCACGTCCAGCCAGCACCAGGGTGACTAACGGTTTCCCTTGGGAGGGACCCTACAGCCAGCTGACGCAAACACCCCAGCGCATTCTCTTAGCTCAACGGGACAGTGCCTGGGAGGCGGGCTGCCACCCCCAGCTCTGGGACCTCTAGCAGATGTGTGACCTGGGAGGGCCACACGTCCACCCTCACCCCACCCTCTACCTCCAGAAGCCGGCCGGGGCTCCCCCACCCCGAAGGACTCCAGCGAGCCCCCAGACTCCAGAGCCGCAGGGAGCTGTGACCACTGCTTGGTCCACTGGTGGTCTGGGGGTTTCGGAGGGAGACGTCAGGGGTCAGGGAAGGCCCCGGGGCCCCTGAAGACCCTCGGAATTGCGGGGGGTGACTGGTGATAAAGAATCACACACAGGCAGGGGGTGCCCCTGAAGGCCTCGTCAAGTGCCAAGCGCGGAGCCACTGTCAGTTCTGGAGAACCGGTCAGGCTGGGCCTCCTGGCGGGGCCTTAGATGCCCTCGGGACCCGCCTCACGGGGTCGCAGCCAGGCCTGGACGGCAGAACCCAGAGTATCTAAGAAGCTTCTAACCAGCAGCACAGTGGGTGACTGGAAGAGCAGCCCAGGCTCAGAAGAGGCCATGCCTGGGGTCCAGGCTCTGCCGTCACCGTGTTGAAGGTTTAATCGTGTTATCTTCGAATTCGTGTTCTCGGAGCGACACTGGATGGGGTGATGGAGTGATGGAGAGACTTCTGCTGGGGGACCTCCTACCCCCTGCACCTCTCAGGACTGCCCTCTGCCCTCTGGGGAGCCAGGATCAGACGGAGTCTCCGGTGGGGTCCCAGGCACTCACTGCACAAGCTCCCCGTGCCCAAAGGAGCACGACATTAACAGCAAATAAAAACACTCCTATTGTTCGGGAGAGGCCCTTGGAGGAATGAGAAAGTTTTGTCCTGCTTGGTGAACAAGGGGCTCCCCGTTTTGCACTGAGCCCCACAGGTCACCCAGCGGCCCTCGGAATTGCTGCCTGCCAGCTCTGATGATGCCCAGGGCTCCCTGGAGAGTCACTGAAAGAAATGGCTTGGAGCCCCCATCTTGGTTCCCACTGTCCTCTCTCTGGAGCCCTTCTTTCACACCCATCTGGACGTGCTTGGCCCTCCAGATGATTTTCTGAGGACACCTCCTCCAGGAAGCCCACCAGGTGGCCCAGCACTTCAATCTGGCTTCTCGCACTGAGCGGGATCTTCCCCTGCCTGTGGCTGTGACCCCACAGAGCGGGGGCTACTCCTGGTTCACACTGTATCTTAGCACCTGCCAGGGCCCAGCATCTCTAGCCAGGTGCTCAGTGCATGGAAGGGTGGATTTGTCCGGCAGTCCTTCGGGGTGACGGTGAGGTGTCCCCGCCACTCTCTGTGTGACCCTGGCTAAAGATGCTGTGGACACCTGTTTTTTCAGAAGGAGATTATCTTTCCACCAGAGCTTTCTGGATGTCTGAAGAGCTTGCAAACAGGAAATTGGGCACATTTCTCAGGGGAAGCGAGGTGAAGCGTGGGAAAACAAGGCGGAAGGGGAAGAGCCCACTTAGGGAAGGGAAGGGAAGGGAGGGGGTGGGGGAGGGGTGCAGCGGGCCATGGGATGACCAGTTTGGGTGGTCCCAGTGGTTAGACAGTCACACCAGGAGCTGGGCCCTGTCCTGCACAGCCAAGTGTCTGAAACAGAGCTCAGAAACACGGGGACCAGAGCCAGAGCCCCTGTGAAGTGGGCCCTCAACCCTGGCATCCAGAGGCCGGCCAGCACGGCCTGGAGGGTGACGACCTCTACCCTGTCCCCCGGTGTCCTGCTGCCCACCCAGAGCCTGGGGCAACCCTGGGCACCTTCTGACAGCAGAGCTCTTGTACCCAACAGGGACTGGGCCACTGCGGGACCATGTGGCCAGTCTGGAGGTGGTTGGCCAGGACTGGAAGAGAACCAGGCTCCAGAGGGAGGCCCAGCAGCAAGTCCCTCCCCGTGAGCTCCCCGGGCAGATGCTCTGGGCCTGGGCTGGCCGTTAGGGAGGACCCAGCCCCACAGACCACTGGAGCTCAGCAGGCCGGACCACAAAACAGAGTCCTCCCCTCCCTCTTCGTCAGCACTGGCATTTTCCATTAGGCCGTCTCGAGGTTCAAGTGGGGGGACTTGGGGTGCTTAGAAAGAGGCTCCTTTGTCCCCAAATCTGGAGCAAGGACAGGGCCCTGGGAGGCCCCGTCAGGGCTGGGAAGTAAGCCTGCCGCTGGCGCTCCAGGGACAGACCACTGCCGGGCAAGGGGCGGGAGCTGCGTCCTTGAGCTCCTGAATTTCACCGCCTGCCGAGGTGCGCAGGCCGAGCCCGGCTGTGCGGGGGTCACCTCCTGCCGGGACAGCCCCTCCGCTGCCGCCGGGCCTGTCCCTATGCCCTCCGTGACGCTATGAGACAGAGACGAGGGGCTCCATTTTGTGGATGGGGAGACTGAGGCTCACCGGACAGAGGGTACACCAAGGCCCCAGAGCTAAGAAGGGGCGGGGCCCTCGCCCGGCTCACCAGAGGCAGCTGGAGCTGCTCATTTCCAGTCATTAGCTGAGGACAGCACGAATGTTATCACAACCCCAGTTGCAGAGGCCCCGGATGGTACTCCAGCCTGGGGACCCCCACGGGAAGAATCAGGAGCGTCGATACCCAGACCCCCTCCCACCAGGGGCAGGAGGGCCTCAGCGGGTCGCTACCCAGAGAGCCAAGGGCTGCTGTGCTGTGCTCTGGCGCTGCGGGTCGGGGGTTCAGAACGTGTAGGATGCAAATGCAGCAGCTGGCCTCGCTCTGCTGGGCGGCTGAGCAGACAGACAGCTGTCCGGGAGGTGGGAGCCGTGTGGCATTCCGGGCATTTCAGCACCTCTATAAAACCAGCCTTCTCCACGCCGAGGGGCCCGAGGGAGGGGAGGGTGGGCGGGTCGGCTCCCACTCCCTGCTCCCCAGGCTGTGGCTGCCCCGCCAGCGGCCCCCACCCTGCCCGGGACAGGCCCTGCCAGGTCCCGTTGGGACCAGCGCCACCTGCTGGGGAGAGGAGGGATGCGCCTGGGGGCCTTGGCTAGGAGCATGCGTCAGGGGCCAGTCTCCCCTCCTCTCCCGGCCTCAGTCTCCTCCTCTGTAAAATGGGGAGACAGAGACGTCCACCCCCCCACCCCCACCCCCCGCCTCCAGCTACTGGCACGGCCCAAAGGGACAAAGTAGGAAGAGAGCTCGGCACATGCCGGCCCTGAATGAATGTCTGTGTGTGTAAATGGTTTTCAAGACACACACAGGGGTTCGAATGGAGAGCTCCCCCGCACCAGGGGTCAGGAGAGGCCCAGGGCTACAATATTAACGTGGAGGCAAGCCCGGCAAGGGCATCCTGGCAGAAGGAGGGCGCACCGCCTGTGGCATCCCCTTTGGCCCGAGCACCAGCAGGTGAGGGTGGGGTGGAGTGGGGTATCGGAGGCCGGCCGGTCGGCTGGCGGGACCACCGGAGCCCAGAAGACGGGGAGGCCAGAGCACGTCTCTGCTGTCTCCCAGCCCAGCCCGATCCGGCTCCCCCTGCCCTGTGCCTGGGGGCACAACACCCCCACAGCAACCGGCCTGCTTCTTCTACTCTGCCCCACCCAGCTCCCCAGGCCAATCGCTTCCCTGGCCCCAGTGAGAACCGAGGGTCCTTTAAGTCCTGTTCAGAGCTGGACGCCTTCCCCTGAGCCAGCTGGCCTGTCTCCAGGCGGCCAGGTCTGCGACGGGAGCCACACACAGGCTGCACCCCGACCCCCATTCTACGCTCCGCCCCCCCAAAAGCGCTGCTCAAGTCCCAGCCTTTCTGTAGGGGGGTCCTTGGGCCACCCCGCCCCCAGGCTGGCCACCTGTCTCCCTGCTTTGGGGCAGCCCCTCTCGGCCCCCTTGGTCCTTAATGGTTACAGCACATGTGCGGCTCCCCTCCTGCTTCCTCCATCACCTCCCCCTTCTCTTTTTCCCCTCCCCAAGCTTGCAGCCCCGGCCCTGGAGTTTACAGCTGCAAAACACACACACACACACACACACGCACACATGCACACGCACACGCACACACACACACACACACACACACACACACAGAGTCATGCACAAAACCAACTGTGGAATGTTTTCCTGCTCCTGAGCGGGGTTACCGCTCCGGAGAGTTCTCTCCTAGCCCCTGACCTCTAATCCATCTCCTCGCCACACGATTTCTACACCTTCTGGAAGCTGGGGCTGGGGGCTGCGGCTGGGCAGAAGCGGGGTGTGGAGAGGCGGGCCGGGATGATCAGGGCCCCCATGACCAGCTTGCAGGGGGTCACCTGCCTCTTACCCAGAGCTGCACACACGGCACGATCTGGTTTTCCCATTTGGAGAGGGAACGGGGCTCCTAAGTGCCAGACTGAAATGCCCTGCAGCCCCGCCTCCCTGGCCTTTCATTCATTCTTTTCACAGAGTCATTCATTCAGCCAGTGTCTGCTGACCACCCACCACGTGCCAGGCCTGGCCCCGGACTTGGGTGGTGAACTGGCCAGTCGAGCAGTGGGCACACACCCCAAGCAGCCCCGCACTGACCGCACGACACAGAGAGCTGGAGGCCCGGACGGGAACGAGTGGCGTGCTGGGGGCCAGTGCAGAGCACCCCAGCTTGCCTGAGCCGGGTGGGGACCCGTCCCCACAGATGTCAGAGGAGGGGGAAGTGTGTGTGCAGGGGAGGGGGTGAGGCCGGGAAGAGGGGCGGGGTCCTAGCGTACCGTGGAGGCTGGGGTGTGCTGTGGGGGACAGGGCTGGCCGGGGGTGGCCCCGCGATCCCCCAGAGAACTTGGACTTCACGCTGAGGGCTGAGGGTGCCTTGGAAGGTGCTTGAGCAGAAGAATGACGTGACCACGTGTACTGAATGGGACTTTTCATGGCAAACGGCAGAAATGTCCCCCAGCCAACGTATGATAAAAAAAAAGAGACTTCTGGAAAGGTGTGAGGGAGCTCCCAGATGGAAGGAAAGGTGGGTCAAGCGGGCCCAGGGGGTGTGGGACAAGCCGGCAGCCTCTCCTTGAGGCGCCGACATGCATGGGCACCTCCTGGCCTCGCCCCCGCTGTTCCCATACTCCAGATTCCAATTCCCAGGAGAACAAACTCCGGCGTAGCCACCCAGCAACCACAGGAACAAGCCACTGGACACAACGTGGCTGAATCTCAGGGACATTCCGGGGCGGTGAGAGAAGCCAGCCCGAAAGAGTGCACACCGCGTGAGTGCATTTATACAGGCAAAGTCAAGCGTGTGGCAGAAACCTGAACAGGGGCTGCCTCTGCTGGGGCCTCGAGGGCTGTCCTGGAGTCACGGGGACGCAGGGATGGTCACACAGCACATGTCAAAACTCATCGAACTGTACATGATAAATCTGTGCGTTTTGTTGTAGGCAACACCATTATATCATGATGAAAACCAAAACGGAATAAAAGCTATCCTTTTGCTGGCAACAAATAAACAAAAGAATTAATCAGTCAAGCAATGAAGCAAGCAGTCCCTCCAGGGAGGGAGAATTGGCCTGGGGAGCTCACACACTCCCATCGCTCCTTGGCCAGAGGATAACGGGGCGGTGTAGGGGGGACCCTGCTGGCCAGTTCCCCCAGGCCTCTTCAACAAAGGAAGGTAATTTCCCGAAGGCCAAGGAATGCTGAGAGGGCTAGCATCCCCCTTGCGCTGGGGACACTGGTAGAGCTCATCCAGTTCTGTGTACTTCAGGTTTGAAACTATGTAACCAAATAGAAAAGAATGTTAGTTTCATTTGTTTAGTTACCAAGGAAGCCTGTTTGGGGCAGCAGCAGCGGAGTCAGACATGCCCCTGGGCTGGTAAATTGTGAAACTTATCTACAGGGTCCTTTTAGTGATTAGAATCTGCTGAACCTTGGGTTCTCTAACCTCTTGCCTCCTGTGGACGCGAGACTCAAGCAGCAGAGTCTGCTCTCTTCTTATTCTGGACGCCGGAGCACCTCGGGGAGGGGCCAGGGGCCAGGATGGAAAGTGGCTGGACATCGGCGATTGTGCTCGTGGGGACTCTTCTCCGAAGTTGCTGCCTCGGAGAAAAGACGGACGGTCTCCTTGAATCAACAGCTCTGACCTATCCCAAAAAAAAAAAAAAAAATCAGAGACAAGTGCTGATCACATGGTACATCAGCTGTTGAACCCTCTCCATGTGCTGCTGGACATGTGTGCGCACACCCCTGCCTCTCTTCAGGGCATTTAAACCACAGCTGCCACCGGAGCCCCTGGTGCAAGGAGCGGGCCTTCTCCCTTTCGCTTTTCTGCCCTGGAGACCCGGGAGGCCTGCACCTACCTCTCCCCCCCAGCCCATGGGGACTCTGGTGGCCAAACTGCTCCTGCCCACGCTCAGCAGCCTGGTCTTCCTCCCCACGGTCAGCATTGCTGCCAAGAGGCAGTTCCACATGGAGGCCATGGTCTACCTCTTCACCATGTTCTTTGTGGCGGTAAGTCCGGGGCCCTGGGGATAGGACCCACCCGGGGCCCCTCCCAGAGACGGAGGACAGGGGCTGTCTTTCCACCACGTTGCTCTGTTGGGTGATGAAGAAAAGTGATGATGGGGAGGTGGAGGAAAGAGCCCAGAGACCAGGAGAGAGGGCTGTGGGCCCCCTTCACCTTCCTGGACCTCAGTTTCCCCAACTGTGGCAGGAAGTCACCCTGGGATTGGTGTCTGCGAGACCAAGCCCACAGTGCGCCAGGGACAAGCCCCTTCAAGATCCCCCTTTTCTTGCCAACCACCCAAGGCTCCTCCTGGCTCCAGCTCCCCTCTTCACCCCCGCCCCCCCCCCCCACGACTCTCCCTGGTACTCCAGGCCCAGGAGGGGGCTAGCAGGGCTCAGGGAACGTGTAGGGCCAGGGGAATCTGGTTCCAGGATTCTGCAGCTGGCCTCAGTTCAGGAGGGCCCGCTCACGTCGGCTTGTCTCTCCTTCTTGGGGCCTACGTCTCTCTCTGAGTCCTTCTTTCTCTTTCTATTTATATGTCTGGCTGTCTGTCTCTCTCTCTCTGTCCCCCTCCCCCGTCTCCCTGTGGGTCTCTTTCGCTCTGTGTTTCTCATGCTGGCTCGCGCTGTGTCTGGTTCTCTCTGGATTTCTGGAGCCGTATCCTCACGGAATTTACTCTCTTTCTAAATGTCATGGTGTCCGTCCCTAGCTCTGTTGCCCTCATGTGTCTCTCTGGCCCTATCTATCCATCCCCCTAGCTTCTGTCTGTCTGTCTGTCTACCTACCTATCTATGTACTATCTCTCTAATCAGTCATCTATACATATATCTAATCAGTCACCTCTCTACCAGCCAGCCGGCCAGCCACCATCTCTCTACATCTTAGTGCCTTCCTGCCTCCCTGTCTGTGAGCCTCTGAGGCTCCTTCCACCCACTCTTGCCGCTGGAACCCCAGAGGGGCCCCACTCTCTTTTCCTCCATCATCTTCCATCAGACCCAGCCTTGGTTTAAACCCAACTCCCTGATGAAGCATGCTCGGGGGAGGTGAGTGTTCCCGGACTCCGTGTGGCAGTGCCAGCCGTGCGTGGGCCCCCCCCAACCCCGGGCAGCAGGGCCTCCCCGGGCAGCAGGGCCTCCCCAGGCAGCAGGGCCTCCCCAGGCAGCAGGGCCTCCTGGCTCCTTCAAGGAATCTTGTCGAAAGCCGTTTCATTTGCTGCTCGCGGGACCCCAGCTTGGGTGAGGGCCAGGAGGTCTGCCCAGCAGATGAGGAACCAGAGCCGGGCAGACAGGGGGCTTCTCTGTGGGTACAAGGGCCCAGGGCCGGGGAGAGGAGCCGGGGTCTTGTCCTCCAGGCCCATGTTGGACCCCGCCCCCCAAACCACAGTCACCGCCAGGCCACCCCTCCCCAGCGGGGCTGAGCTGACCCCACAGCTGCCTCTGCGGCTGGCCTCAGAGGCCCACCCCGCCCTGCCCCGCCCAGCCAGAGTGGCAGGGACAGCTGCGTCCAGCGACAAGTGTCCCCGGCCTAAAGACACAATCAGGCCCCTTCTCCCAGAGCCCCCAGCGGCACCATCGCCACTTCTGCCTCCCGTGTGGAGTCTTCTGTGTTCCCACCGGGACCGTCCTGTGACAGCTGCTGGACCCATGCTGCGTGTCGTGTCACATGGAGTCCCCTGGCCCACCTCACGGAGCAGGGGCTCTCGTCCCCATTTGGCAGGGGCCCTCCACCCCAGCCCTAGGGGCAGTCCGCCGCTTGTCAGAGCTCACGGCCGGGACCTGCCAGGCCGGCCTCCGGAAGCCGCGCCCTCTCCTGTCAGGCATCCAGCCACCTGCCACCCGCGCCCCCGATCAGCGCCGCGCAGAGCCAGGTCTGCTCGGTCGGAAGAGGGAGGGAGGCACAGAGGCTGAGGACCCGCTGCTGCCTCGCCCTGATCCTTGGCAGGTGGTTCCCCCCTGGGTCTCACCTGCCCCACCTCTCCAGCAGGGGTGAACCGAGGGCCTGGGGGGAAAGGCCCCTCCTGGGCCAGCTCTCCTTCAAACCGCTCCAAAGCCTCCCTGACGCTGCGTTCACAGGCAAACACTTGGCCGATGGTAAGCCAGCTCTAGGCTGGGACGAGGCGGGTGACAGGGCACAGACCGCGTCCAGAATCTCAGAGTGATGAAGCCTTTAATCGTACATCGCCATCTGTGCTATGTAAGAGAGACAATGGGTACAGAGACAGCAGGGCTCAGCTGGGGGTGGGGGAGAGGTAGTTCTGGAAGGAGCCGGAGGGCAGGAGAAGAGAATCCGTGTCACTCACAGGGCCTGGCTCTGCCTGCCGGAGCCACGGGGAACACGTGTTCTTCTCCCTCCTCTCTCCTGGAGATGTGAGCACCTTGATCGCGCCCCACCTGAAGCTCCTCTTTGCTGAGCTAAACGGTCACATCCACGGCCTGATCCCTTTCCCCCAACCTGTTCCCTGCCAGCGGCACTTCAAAGGGTGCAGCTTCCGCAGCTCAGCACAGCTCTCTGGGGGGGGGTCTGACCAGACAGAGAGGAGCAGTACCGTGTCCTCCCCTGTTCTGGACGCTACATCTCTGTTAATGCCTCCTCGGTGCACCTGAGCTTTAGTTCCCATGAAGTTGCAGCCAGTGGAAGCTCTAAATCGACCTCAACTTGCTCGACTCACCAGACGACCCGGGGCTCTCACCACCCCTGCACCGTAGCATCCCTGGCGCCTCCAGATGTGGGCTGCTGTCCCGCATGCCTCTCCACCCAGCTGAGCTGGGCTAACCAAGCGTCGCCTGTGCTGGGCTCCAAGCTTGTTTATGCCCTTGAGCTTGTCAAAATAATTACATCATGTCATTAAATATTACTTAAAAGGATGAAATGTGTAAGCGAAAGGAGACGGTTGTCCAGAAATAAGTTGACAGCTTTGAAAATACAGACATTTTGCTTTAAAATTGCTATTAAATTAGGCATCTGGCAGACAACTATAGGAGCGTGGGGAGGAGGGGGGGCAAGGAGGAAGCTGTTTTCAGCACCTGCCGGGGGCGGGGGGGGGGGGGGGGGGGGGGGGTGTCTCTGCGATCTGTCTTCACTTTAGAGAAACAAACTGAGGGCTGCCGGCGGGTGGTTCTCAAAGCGGGCTCCCTTCTGGCGGCACCCCGAGATCAGCCCGAGACCCTCTTAAAGAAACAAACCTCTGACCCCCAACCCCGACCTGCTGAGGGGGCAACCCACAGGGCAGGTTCAGTACCTGAGAATTCGCAAGCCCCCCAGGGCTTCAGATGCCCGGTGGTCAGAGGGGTAAATTGTGGGAGAGAAGGCTCCATTGGCCCGTGCAGGGCAGACCGGTACCCAAGGAAAAAGGCTCCAGCCTCAGCAGACCTGGATGTTGAGGGAATGTGTAGATCACATGGGAGGGTCCTCACCTCGGCGGGCTTCGTCCGCAAGACCCTATGGGGGAGTAGTCCACTGCGTCCCCACGTTTCAGATGGGGAAAAGAGCCATGGGGCCATTCGGTGACTTGCCCGAGGTCCCAGCTCACGGGGCCGTGGCTCGGGGCCCAGGCATGGCCCCGGGCCTCCAGAGCTCTCCTCTCCCTGCTGACCGACCGTCTGTGGGTTTCCCGGCAGCTCTACCACGCCTGCAACGGGCCCGGCCTGTCGGTTCTCTGTTTCCTGCGCCACGACATCCTGGAGTACTTCAGCGTCTACGGGACGGCCCTGAGCATGTGGGTGTCACTGATGGGTGAGTGGCCGCCCCCGGTAGCCCAGCCCTGCGCCGGGGACCTGGGTCCCCCGCCACCCACCCTGCACTCGGCCAGCCGAGCCCGCCGCCTGCCTCCCCGCCGCCTGCCTCCCCGCCGCCTCTCATCCCTGAGAACCTCCTTCCTTACCCGGAGGTTCAGAGTGGTGCTCAGTCCGTGAAAAAGCAGGCGTAGCACTTCAGGGCCTTGATTCCCATTTTCCATAACCTTTTAAAGTGGCACATTTAGTAAAGGCTTGTTTTGACAGACTGAGCAGAGGCGTACAGAGGAAAAAAGGAAGCGCTCGGCCCCCTCCTTTCCCCCCCGGAGAACCGCCGCTCGCAGTTCAGAGTCTGCGCCCCCAAGGCTGTCCCCGAGGCTCGCACACGATTTTTAGCTCAGGTCTTTATGAAGATGGGACCGTTCGAAACCACACGGTTCTGAGACTGTTCTTCACTTACTGTGGACTCGTGGCGATGTCAGGATGCACGGTCCCCGTTAGACGGGAAGACTTCCTGCTACGGGCGCAGGCCTGTGAAGGACCCAGATCTTCCTCGTATCCCAGCTGTGGTCTTCGTGTCTGCGTCCTAGTGGTCCCGTGGGAGAGATTCATTCCCGGACACCACACATTGCTCTCTGTGTTAGAGCAGCTTCCCGCCAGCCTAACCCAGGCTGCTCTGTCCACGGGAACGCAGCAGCCTGCTTGTCCTTTAAAACCAGTTGCAGTTCAGACCTTTGGGGGGCCCAGGCTGGGCCACGGGGTCTCCCTGGCAGAGGGGACACCGCACCCGGCCCCCGAAGGGAGGGCCTCTGGGGGAGCAGCGGCCGGGAGGGGCGCGGGAGGCCCCTCAGCTCACCCGGCTCTCTCCCTGGCAGCACTGGCTGACTTCGATGAGCCCAAGCGGTCGACTTTAGTCATGTTTGGCGTCCTGACCATCGCCGTGCGGACCTACCATGACCGCTGGGGCTATGGGGTGTACTCGGGGCCCATCGGCACAGCCGTCCTCATCATCACGGCCAAGTGGGTACGTACTGTGCGAGCCCGACGGTCGGGGCACCCTCCCCTGACGGTGACTCCTCCCCCTTGGGGTCTCCATCTACCTCCTGCCACGTGGGTTGGCAGGCTGGACACAGGGCCTCAGCTAACACATAGAAGATGACCGTCGGGTGCCCCAGCCATGCAAACCTGGTTTGTTTTACGTCTGTACTCACTAGCTCTGGACCTGACCCCAGTCACTTAACCTCTCTGCCTCAGTTTCCACATCTGTAAAGTGGGTGTTACAGTCCAGTACCTACCTCATAGGGTTGGTTCTTAGATTAATTGAGATAATGCCTCTTAAGGACTGGCACGGAACCTGGCTTCTAATGTGCCCAACTGTTTATTATTGTCATTATTATTATTATTATTGAAGAGAATGGCTGGTTTAGAGAAGCAATGTCAATTGGAAGTGGCCTGGGTTAATCTGGGTAGACGTCCTGGAGGCGCTGAGGCTTGAGCCTGGTTCAGATAAAGAGGGAGGACGTGCATGAGGCCGACCGGAAGGTGGAGCTGCTCGTGGGCATGGAAGCAGCCTGAGCCAGACTGATGGCCCTTGGTTGGGCACCCAGGGGCCTGGCACCATGAGGCCTTCTACACGTGGTCCCCAGGCCTCCCCGCACCCTCTGTCATAACAAGGCCCTCCTGGCTGCAAGGACTGAAACCCGCTCAGACTAGCCCAAGGGAAAGAGGGATGCCCGGGCAGGGTGCACCCAGGCGTACTTCCTGGGCCCCCAGGGCAGGGAAGGAACTGAGCCTTGGGGACCAGAACAAAGCCCTGGGAAGCAGGAGGGCGGTTCTCAGGGGAAAGAGGTTGGGCTGGGCCGCTGGTGCAGAAGGTGCAGACTGGGGAGGGAAAATAGAGTTCTGGTGGTGAGCGTTCCAAACTCGCCCCACTCCTCTCTCCGCCCAGAGAGCGGAGGATTTAGTTTGCCAGTTGGTTGGTGAAGAAACCAGGCTCAGAGGTCAGCAATTTAACAAGATGTCATGGCAGGACAAGCGTGAGGCCAGGTCCTGACTCCAAGCAGAAGGGAAGGAGCCTCTTTCTCACCACATCTTGGGGAAGCCAAGCTGGCCCCGCGCTGACCCAGGAGGCCCCTCGGAGAGGGGCGGAAGTGTGCTGGGGTCTGACTTGTCTGGACCAGGAAGGACCACGTTAATTAACATGCTGGAATGCGTAAACACAGAGCGCTCTCAGTGCTGATAATTCGCTCCCTCCCTGGCAGGAAGTGGGATAAAGGCTCCCGAGTTGTGCCCTGGAAGGCGCTCCTCCAGCAGACCTTGGCCGGGGCTGAATCTGGGCTGGATTCTAATTAGCCAGAAGAGCGGTCACTCGCCAGTGTCCCCACGAAGCACCACGGGAACCGAGAGGGCTTCCTGGCTCCCTGCATCTGGGGCTCAAATGGTGTTTTCTAGACCATTAAATGTGGAGTTGATTTTGGCTTTTCAAGGACAGTTGTTTCCTGGAATGAGGGCTGAGTTTTTCTCGTGGAGGCCTGCCCCTTCTTGAGCAACTCTCAGGGACAGGAAGTGGAGAGAGATGGGTGAAGGGGCTGCGGAGCGGGGCCCGGGTGCCACCTGGGGCAGGATTGGCTGGAGGAGAGCTTCCGGGCCTCAGCCGGCTGCCCCCAGAGTCACGCTCCCTTAGCTGCACCCACACACCACCCGCGACATTGCAGGTCCTGATTCCTCACCAGCAATGGGAAATTTCAGAAAACTGAAAACTCAGGCATCGTTTGAGAATTCATTTGGTGACAAAACCTGCCCTGACCCAGCATGAAGCTACTCATGGTCTCTGTGTGATCCGCTGGCGGGGTGGGGGGCGGGGGGGCGGTGCCATTACGGGGAACTGCCCTACCCGCCGGGGCATCCACCGTCCACGATGTGTGCAACCGTTTCCCTTGCTGAAATCCAAAACATCGTGTGCGCTGAAAGGCCTTGGCCCCGAAGGTTTGGGTTTTCAGGATGTGACCCGCATTTACTTCACCTTTTCACTGTATGTGAACCCATGTGTTTAAACTCCCACTTGAGCCTTACTCTAGGTATCAGCATCTGAGGAATGGCAGGTTTCACACGCCAGTCGGGTGTGTCTAATAAATGCTACGATGAGTCTGTCGACTCTGAAAGTGACTGGAGGTCTCGCAGGGATGGCCACACTCATCTCCCACCCGCCACGGCCACGCCGGCGGGCAGGTCCCACACCGCCAGTACCCCTTTGCTGTTGATAACCACGTGTCTGGTCCCCTCGGGTTCTCCTCTGGCTGGAAAGGGTGGCCTTCTTTCACCCCAAGAGGCAGACGGGGCAGGGGGTCCTTGTGGGGTCAAAATGCCCAGGGCATCCACGGCCCGATCACCCAGGCGGGGTCTCCCTTGGGTCCTGCAGCCGTTGGGCCAGATGCGTCCGGGCCTTTCCCTGAGCCCCATCTCCCACCTGAGGATGCCCAGGGTGCAGGTGCCCAAGGCTGCGGACTGAGAGCGTTCCTCTGGCCCCTCTCCCCGCAGCTGCAGCAGATGAAGGAGACGAGGCGCCTGTATCCCGACAAGAGCGTGTACACCCAGCAGATAGGCCCCGGCCTCTGCTTTGGGGCCCTGGCTCTCATGCTGCGCTTCTTCTTTGAGGTACCTGGCGGGGGACTGGGAAGCAGCCCACCCACAAGGGCTCCGGTCAGCACGTCAGCACCAGCCTGCTTGGCCAGGTGCCGAACGGGGCCGCGCCCCTCCCGGGGGCTCCAGCAGCGCCCCACTCGTGCACCCCCCTCCAGTCACGGTCTGGTCCTTCCCTGGCACCCCTGGCATCGCGGGGCTGTGTCGGGGGGGTCAGTACAGAGGGCTCGCATCTGATGAGGTGCACAGCCCGGAAGGGGCCTGGGGCAGCGGGCACACCTGGAGGAGGGAGGGAGAGGGGAGACGGGGAGAAGGGATGTGCGGGGGGGGGGGGGAGGGAGGAGCCCCAGCCGCATCATCAAAGGCGCAGTGAATTGGCGCAGACCTTCGGTGATCTAGGGGTTTGGTGGAGGGAAAGGCCACCATGGGCTGGACGGTGGAAGGAGGCTTCTTGGAGGAGGGGACTTGGCCAGACTCCCGAGGACAAGCCAGGGGGTCGGGGAGGAGCCCCTGTTACTGGCAGGTGCCATGTCACACCAGGCCCGCAGCCGGGGCACAGAGCGGAGGACCCAGGGCGGGGCAGGGCTGTGGGAGGGAAGCTGGGCTTCAGGGCGGGGGCTGAGGCCGCAGATCGGTCCTCCGTCTCCCCTGCAGGACTGGGATTACACCTACGTCCACAGCTTCTACCACTGTGCCCTGGCCATGGCCTTCGTCCTGCTGCTGCCCAAGGTCAACAAGAAGGCTGGAAGCGCGGGGCCCCCCACCAAGCTGCACTGCTCCACCCTCTGCTGTGCTTGTATCTAACTGTGCCTCCCCGGCTCCAGGCCCCTGCCCCGCCCCGTCCCAGGCCTGGCGAGAGTCCTCCGTCCTTCCCGACCTGGAGAAGCGCCCCTCCTCGATCCTGAGGAGTCTCCAGGGCTGTGGGAAGCGCCCCACTGAGCGCTTCTTGAGAATCCACTTCTGAGGTTTCTACTGGGTACTAAGAACCATGCTGGAAAGGAAAGAACTTTCTCCCTCCTCCTAGGCCGAGGTCCCGACGAGTGCGTATGTCTGCAGAACCCTGGAGCCCGCGTCTGTCCCCCCCCCGCCTCTTCGTCCCAACCCCAAGGGGGTCTGCCGCCACCCCAGTCCCGTGTGCTCCCCTTGGAAACAGGGATTCCCACCCCTGACCTGTGCCCTCAGGCTCTGCGCGCCAGGGCCAGCGGGGCCACTCTGTCCCCGGCTCAGGCCTGCCTGCCCCTTGGCGCCCCTCCAGCCGGGTCCCTGAATCAAGCCATTTTCATGTACAGAATGCCCAAGCTCTTCGCACTCGTCATTTCATCTGATTCTCAGAAACAGTCAGGGATGGTGGCGTATTCGAGGCCCAGAGCAGGACCCCAGCCCACTGTCCCTGGTCGGACACCACAGCATCCACTTCGCTATGAAGCTATCCAAGCAAGAGGCGGGAGCGCCCTCAGAGCCTTTGAGCTCCGGCCCAGCGTGGGAAGGTGGGCCTGGGTGCCAGGACCTTGAGCAGAGGCCAGCGGGCCCCCCGGGCTGGCCTCACGGGGCAGGGCTCGCCTTCCGCCGAGGGCAGAGGTCAGCCTGCTCCCATCCAGGGCCTGTCTGCACTGGCCCGGGGGTGCGGGCGGGAGCGGCCCTCCCAGACATCACCTCACAGACACTAGCCTCCTGCCTGCCGAATGGTCTGGGCGCATCTGTCAGGCAGGAAGTTCCCTACACCTGTCTGGGGCCTCTTCGTGTTGCCAGACGGTGCAGTTACCCACATCCGCACCCACCGCATGGGACGGCCCAGGATTTGTCCTGAAGTCACCTCCTCCACACCTCGGGGGCCGGGAGGGAGCTGGCTCCAGCACCGAGGGCTGGGCACAAGGCTGACCCGCCAACCGGGGCGCGTCTGTCGGCCTCCCTGAGTGCCCGGCGTCCCATGTCTTAGGGCCCTGGACACCGGCAATCTCACCCCAGCTCAGCCCCTTTTTGTCCCCACAGCCTGTTGATGACAGAGCAGCCCACCAACAATCAGGGTCCTCACCAAGCCATGGGGGGTGCGGGGCGGGAGCTGAGCCTTCACAGTGTCCCCACGGGAGGGCACGGGGCGCGGAAGGCCCTCTCCACCGAGCAGCTCTGTGCCCGGTGAAGGGGGTGCAGGTGCTGCCTCGACTGGCTTCTGGCCGTCTTGTTGGGGTGTGAGCACACACACGCGCACACAGACGCACATGTACACGCCACGCACAGGTACACGTGAAGAGACCGGGGCCCTGTACCAGGGACTTCCCGCCTGGTCCCGTCTCCCACACCCACAAGAGGAGACTCCTGTCTCAGCACCAGGTGGTAAGGCAAGGGGCAGACTCTGGGGCCACGGTGGGATGGCGGGAGCCAGGGGGCATTACTCCAGAAACGGCATCTGCGAGGTGGCTGGTCTCCGCCCACCACCTCCCTCCCCCAACGCCCCGCCCACCACCTCCCTC